TTATTGCTTCCAGAGCTTTTAAGTGGACGAGCTAGGGAAAAAAAAAATGCATCTTTTAAAAGGAAAATATATATATATATATATATATATGAATTTATATTGATATATCCAATTAAAATAAAAAAGTACAGGGTCCTTTTACCTTTTATGCTGAAAATCTTGGCTCCTTCTTACATTAATTATTTCTATAATTCATATGTATTTCTCACCCTTGGTACTATTGACATTTTGAGCCAGAGAATTCTTTGCTCTGGGGGACTGCCTAGTGTGTTGTAGGACATTTAGCAGAATACCCTGCTTCTATTCACTAGGTAACAGCAGCACCACCCCTCTTTCTCCCCCTCATCTTTCCAGTTGTGAAAACCAAAAATGTCTGTAGACCTTCCAGACATTGCCAAGTGACCATTAGGGAGTAAAACTGAGTGATCTATCTTCTTTCTTTATACATTAGTTTCAATTTAACAGTAATACTAATATTACTAATAATAAAAAGACAACTAAATGTAGTTTAAAATTTCTTTGGGGTTTTCTTCCTTAGAATATATTCTGATAGGGATATATAGTCAAACTACTATGTTTAAGGTCACTTGAAGTAATTTTCTATGTGATTATGGTCCCCATTTGATAAGTAGGTTTACCTGTTTCAGTTTTTTTCTATACTTTTAGGGATTGCTTTGGCATTTTATCTTTTTGGATATAATTTTTATTTTTTCATATGTAAAATATGAAAAATATGATTTTAATGTCAAAACTCTTAAGTTACAGTAAGAGAAGTCATGGTTCCATTTAGTACATGTAAGTGAAAAAAAATCAGTGTACAGAACAGTGTTTAGAATATGTTTTATGTGCAAATGGGTGGGGAGAGAGAAGTGTGTGTGTATGTGCGTGTGTGTGTGTATAAAATACATATTAAAAATGCAATCGGCTCTCAGAAAACATGGGTTTAAACTGCATGGGTCCGCTTATATGCTGATTTTCTTATGCCCCTGCCACCCCAAGACAGCAAGACCAACCTCCCCCTTAGCCTACTCAACGTGAAGATGATGAGGATGAAGATGTTTAGGATGATCCACTTCCCCTTAATGAATAATAAATGTATTTTCCTTATGATTTTTGAAATAACATTTTATTTTCTCTAGGTTATTTAATTGTAAAAATGCAATATATAATACATATACAAAATATGTGTTAATCAACTATCTTATCAAAAAGGCTCTGGTCAACAGTAGGCTATTATTAGTTAAGTTTTGGGAGACTGAAAAGTTAGAGACAGATTTGCAATTATATGGAGGATTGGCACCCCATGCCCATATTGTTCAAGGGCCAACTATATATATGATATACGTGTGTATATGTATTATATGTAAGGAAACATATGATTATATATATGTTTGTGTGTTTGTATGTTTTTTTAAATGATGAGAGAATAATCCAAGAACTAATAAAAATAGTTATCTAGAGAGCAAAGCAGGAATCAGTGTTTCAGGGACAGCATAGAACCTGGACTTCCCTAAATATGCTGCTGTTTGGTAATTTGTCAATTTTTATCAACTTGATATAAATAGAAGATGAAGTTTAATAGTGAGACCACAATCACTTCTCATTTCCTTTTTTTTGGAATATAGATACATCACAATTCTTAGCTAATTCAGTGTCACCTCTTACTTTATGATTGTTGACATATTGTTTACTACTGAGCCAAGAAATGACTCTTCAGTACATATACTTATGTAACTTTCTGTCACTCCTAGAGTTAGTACTTGCCTTATTTTTCTGCTTCCTATGTATTTTTAATTTAAATGACACCCTCAAAATTGTTTGTTTAAATAAGGAATCCATCATTCTTATTAGTTTACCTCATTTTGATGCATGAAGGGATAAAAGGGAAATTCTAAGGATCTTCTAAAATTCTAAATTTTGTGTTTTTTTAGAAGAAATTTTTTATGTTTTTTTAACTAGTGGACTATGCTGTAGAATGGTTTGATCAGAACCTAGAAGGTTTTTTTTGGTTTTTTGTTTATTTGGAGACTTGAATCTTCCTCTTTTGCCCAGACTGGAGTGCGGTGTCACGATCTCGGCTTGCTGCAACCTCTGCCTCCCAGGTTCGAGCAATTTTCCTGCCTTGGCCTCCTGTGTAGCTGGGATTACAGGCGCATACCACCACGCTCAGCTAATTTTTGTATTTTTAGTAGAGATGGGGCTTCACCATGTTGGCCAGGCTGATCTTGAATTCCTGACCTCAGGTGATCCACCTACCTCAGCTTCTCAAAGTGCTGGGATTACAGGCATGAGCCACCACGCCTGGCCTAAACCTAGAAGTTTTGTAGGGGGCCCCAAATGCCAGCATCTATTGTGCCTTTTAATCTTTTTATCTCCTATGTGGAGGTACATGCCAGCATTCATGAAGCTAAATAACAGAAAGGGATTGGAGATCTCACTCATCTTATAGTGTATAGCGAATCAAAATCACATGGGAACTCTACATGCAGTTATGTCTAAGAAGTGTAGTTTTAACTGCCTCAGCCTTTACAGATTGGCAAAGTATAGTAGGAGATTAGAATACATGTTACTTAATCAGCTCCATGATATCTGCCTTGGTGTGTAACTGCTCTTTATTCAGACTTTAATCCTCTTCTTTTTAGTCCTACTGTTATCCTACCCATTCCCCCTTTTTGTGTGTGATCAGGACTTGCTGTGTTTCCCAGACTAGTCTTAAACTCCTGGGTTTTAGCAAGCCTTCCAAATACAGGTGTAGACCACCGCATCTTGTTTTTTAAATTAATAAACTTCATCTTTTAGGTTGATTTTAGGTTCACAACAAAACTGAGCTTTGTATAGAGCTCATGAAAAAGTATAAAGTGGACTGGGCGTGGTGGCTCATGCCTGTAATCCAAGCACTTTGGAGGCCAAGGCGGGCGGATCACCTGAGGTCGGGAGTTCAATACCAGCCTGACCAACATGGTGAAACCCCATCTTTAAAAAAAAAAAAAAAGAAAGAGAGAGAGAGAGAGAAAAGAAAGAAAGAAAAAGTATAAAGTGGTTGGGTACGGTGGTTCATGCCTGTAGTCCCAGTACTTTGGGAGCCCGATGCATGTGGATCACGAGGTCAGGAGATTGTGACCATCCTGGCCAACATGGTGAAACCCCCGTCTCTACTAAAATACAAAAAAAAAAAAAAACATATTAGCCAGGCGTGGTGGTGTATGCCTGTAATCCCAGCTACTCGGGAGGCTGAGGCAGGGGAATTGCTTGAACCTGGGAGGGGGAGGTTGCAGTGAGCTGAGATCGTGCCATTGCACTCCAGCCTGGGAAACAGAGCAAGCCTCCGTTTTAAAAAAATAAAGAAAAAGTACAAAGTGTATGGATACCCACTGCTCCAGCACACACAGAGTTTTCCCCACTGTCAACATCTAGCACCACGGTGGCATATTTGTCACAATCAATGAACCTCCATTATTATTATTATTATTATTATTATACACATGATTATTCCCAAAGTCTGTAATTTACATTAGGGCCACTCCTGGTGTTGTACATTCTATGGGTTTTGATATATGTATAATGACTCAGACCCATTATAGTATCGTACAGAATACTTTCACTGCCCTAAAACGCCTCTTTCTTTCTTCTATTTATTCCTTCTCTCCCATAATCTCTGGCAACCACTGATATCTTTACTAGTCATAATTTTGCCTTTTCCAGTTTGTTTGGAGTCATATAGTAAGTGGCCTTTTCCAATGAGCTTCTTTCACTTAGCAGCATGCATTTAAGGTTCCTCCATGTCTCTTTATGACTTGATAGCACATCTGTTTTTAGCATTGATGAATATTTCTGTGTCTAGATGTACCAGAGTTTATCCATTCACCTAGTAAAGGGCATCTTCCAAGTGTTGGCAATTAGGAATAAAGCTGCTATAAATATCCATGTGCAGGTTTTTGTATGGACATATGTTTTCAACTCATTGGGGTCAATACGAAGCATGATTGCTGAATGATATGGTAATAGTATGTCTAATTTTGTAAGAAACTGCCAAACTGTATTCCAAAGTGGCTGTACCATTTTGCAGTCCCACCAACAATGAGTAAGAGTTCCTGTAGCTCTGCAAACTTGTCAGCCTTTGACTTACTAGTTCCAGCAGGGGTTTGTTGTTGTTGTTGTTGTTGTTGTTTTTGTTTTCAGATTTTCTACATAGAATGATCACATCTTCTGTGAACAAAGACAGTTCTTGTTTCATTTTATTCTTTCTAATCTGTGTAGCTTTTATTTCCTTGTTATTGCATTAGGTTGGACTTCTAGTACAATGTTGAAAAGCAGTAATGCAAGGGAACATGCTTGCCTTGTGCTTGTTTATCCCTACCATTTGAGTGCCTGGATTCTCCAATTCTTGAGTCTTTCCAGTGATATTTGGCCAAATCACTTTGTCACTTCTTGTCATTTGCATCTTCGTGATACTTTAACTTTATAGTTCTGCTAGTTTATGGTTCCCTATATCCTTCTCATCCTGCAGTATTTTGTTGAAATCTTTTTTTCACCCTTTTTAGACTCATTGTCTCCTTTTTCTTATGGATTTAACCCTTCATCCTTTCACTGTCATTTTTAATGGAATTTTAGGAAGGAGGAAAAATAAGTGCATGCATTCAATAATCACAAGTGTTCATTTTATTCTTTAGCCATTTGACTTCCTATCAGTCATTTTTGTGTTCACGCTTTCATTTTAATTATTCTGTTCTTTTTGCTGATTTCTGCACTGTACATGGACACTCTAAAACTTAGTCAAAGCTATTTAGACCTACAGATGTCAGTTTGTGTCTCCATATGTTTTATGTAGTAGTTAACTTCTCAAACCTTAGGAACTAAGAACTTACTCTTAGCTTTCTTTTGTATTGGATGACTAGGCCAACATCAAAGATTAAACCCCACATTAGCCAATTTCTGATATGTTATTAATAGTCTAGTGGTAGAATAATTCACAAGTAATAATTTTTGGTCCTCCGTTTTAGAAGTTTGGAAAGTTGATGAACAGATCAAGAAGCAACAGGAAACACTTGTGAGGAAAGTCACATCCATCTCCAAGAAAATTCTGATTAAGGAAAAAGTCATTGAATATAAAAAAGTTGCAAAAATATTTCCTCTGAGTTCAGACATTGTTACTTCAAGACAAAGCTTCTATGAATGTGATTCACTTGATAAGGGTTTGGAACATAATTTAGACTTACTCAGATATGAGAAAGGCTGTGTAAGAGAGAAACAGTATGGAGGTAATGAGTTTGGGAAACCATTTTATCATTGTACATCCTATGTTGTAACCTCCTTTAAGTGTAATCAGTGTGGACAAGACTTTAGTCATAAATTTGATCTCATTAGACATGAGCGAATTCATGTTGGAGAGAAACCTTACAAATGTAAAGAATGTGGAAAAGCCTTCAGTAGGAAGGAAAATCTTATTACACATCAGAAAATTCATACTGGGGAAAAACCATATAAGTGTAATGAATGTGGAAAAGCTTTCATTCAGATGTCAAATCTTATTAGACACCAGAGAATTCATACTGGGGAGAAACCGTATGCATGTAAGGATTGTTGGAAAGCCTTCAGTCAGAAATCAAATCTCATTGAACATGAGCGAATTCACACTGGAGAGAAACCCTACGAATGTAAGGAATGTGGGAAATGCTTCAGCCAGAAGCAAAATCTTATTGAGCATGAGAAAATTCATACTGGGGAGAAACCTTATGCATGTAATGAATGTGGTAGAGCTTTTTCTCGAATGTCATCTGTTACGCTACATATGAGAAGTCACACAGGGGAGAAACCTTATAAATGTAATAAATGTGGAAAAGCTTTCTCTCAATGCTCAGTATTTATTATACATATGAGAAGTCACACTGGTGAGAAACCCTATGTATGTACTGAATGTGGGAAAGCCTTCTCTCAAAGTTCATCCCTTACTGTACATATGCGAAATCATACAGCTGAGAAACCCTATGAATGTAAGGAATGTGGAAAAGCCTTCAGCAGGAAAGAAAATCTCATTACACATCAGAAAATTCATACTGGAGAGAAACCTTATGAATGCAGTGAATGTGGGAAAGCTTTTATTCAGATGTCAAACCTCATTCGACACCAGAGAATTCACACGGGTGAGAAACCCTATGCATGTACAGTATGTGGAAAAGCCTTTAGTCAGAAATCAAACCTCACTGAACATGAGAAAATTCATACTGGAGAGAAACCTTATCATTGTAATCAGTGTGGGAAAGCTTTCAGTCAGAGACAAAATCTTCTTGAGCATGAAAAAATTCATACTGGAGAGAAACCATTCAAATGTAATGAATGTGGTAAAGCCTTCTCTCGAATCTCATCTCTCACTCTTCATGTGAGAAGTCATACAGGGGAGAAACCCTATGAATGCAATAAATGTGGGAAAGCCTTTTCTCAGTGCTCATTACTTATTATACATATGAGAAGTCATACTGGTGAGAAACCCTTTGAATGTAATGAATGTGGGAAAGCATTCTCTCAAAGAGCATCCCTTTCTATACATAAGAGAGGTCATACAGGTGAGAAACGCCGAGTGTATTAAATGAAAGAAGGCCTCTTAAATCCAACCCATGTTTTACTTAAAATATCTTAGCATAAGCTCAAAAAAAATCTTTATGGAAAAATTGTAATACTTTGTTAAAAGATGTTAAAAGACTGGAATAAATGGAGAGAAATACTGTATGCAAAGATGGAAAAACCCAATATTATAGAAACCTCAATTCTAAAAATCTGTAGACTGAATACAGTTCCAAACAAAATCTACTCAGAATTTTCTAGGATCTTTCCCAAATGACTTTCCCAGTTCATGTGAAATAGAACTGTATGGATTGCTGAGACAATTTTGAAGAAGAACAGAGGAAACACCCTCGCTGTATGATATAAAGTTACAGTCATTTAAAAATGTGTGCTATTAGTACATCAATAGGTAAGTAAGCAGTTTTTAAGGAATAGACTACCCAGAAGCAGACTCATGAGTACGTGTGAATGTGGTGTATGTTAGACTTGACATCATAAATTAGTAGGGAAGTGATGACATCAATAAAATTGTTGGGAATATTTTACTCTTCATATTGGAAAAAATAAAATTACATATAACATATAATCTTATGACATATTAAAAAATCAATATTCTTTTTTTTTTTTTTTTTTTTTTAGACAGTCTTACTTTGTAGCCCAGGCTGGAGTACAGTGTCATGATCTCAGCTAACTGCAGCCTCTGCCTCCTGGGTTTGAACGATTCTTATGCTGCAGCCTCCCCAGCAGCTGGGACTATAGACATGCACCACACACTGGGCTAATTTTGTTGTTGTTGTTGTTGTTGTTGTATTTTTAGTAGAGTCAGGGTTTCACCATGTTGGCCAGGCTGGTATCAAACTCCTGACCTCGAGTGATCTGCCCTTTTTGACCTCTCAAAGTGCTGGGTTTACAGGCTTGAGCCACTGTGCTCAGCCAAAAAATCAATATTCTAAAGGACTTAAACGCTGGAATTTGAAAACCCAAACTGTGAAACCATTGGGAGAAAGTAGACGATACTGCTTGTGACATTGAGGGAGCATTTTTTTTTTTTTTAAGACAAAAGGACTCTGCAATTCCACTTCTAGTTATAAATCCTATAGAAACACAAATAAGCGGGGCGCGGTGGCTCATGCCTGTAATCCCAGCACTTTGGGAGGCAGAGGCGGGTGGATCACGAGGTCAAGAGATCGAGACCATCCTGGTCAACATGGTGAAACCCCGTCTCTACTAAAAATACAAAGCATTAGCTGGGCATGGTGGCGCATGCCTGTAATCCCAGCTACTCAGGAGGCTGAGGCAGGAGAATTGCCTGAACCCAGGAGGTGGAGGTTTCGGTGAGCCGAGATCGCGCCATTGCACTCCAGCCTGGGTAACAAGAGTGAAACTCCGTCTCAAAAAAAAAAAAAAAAGAAACACAAATAATGCATAAGAAATATATATAAAATATATGTATGTATGTATAGCCAGTGCAGTGGCACATGCCTATAATCCCAGCTACTTGGGAGGCTGATAGAGGAAGATAACTTGAGCCCAGGAGTTTACGGCCAGCTGGGAAGCAGTAAGAACCAATCTCTTTAAAAAAAAAAAAGAAATATATAAATACATATCTGCAATGAAAACAACCTAAATATCAATCAGTGGGGTAACATGAATAAAATATGGTATGTTCAAATGGTAGAATAGCATACAGCACTTAAAAGCAGTGAACCAGATCCATATTGTGTAACATTGATAATTAAAGCAATGTCGAGTGAAAAAAATCAAAATGCAAATGAAATGCTGTATAATAATATTCATGTAAATTGGAATGAAATCATTTATAAAGAATGACTGTTTCTATTATTGAAAAGTGTATTTAAAACTATTTAGAATAGAAGGATACGTACCAAATTATTGACAGCATTGTCTCTGGAGATTGAATTTGGGGCTGTTGATTAAAAGGAGCCTTTAGCTTTGCTTGTAATTTTTATGCCTTAAAAAAGACTGGTAGTATATAAAATAAATATTAAAAGCTAATGATACACGATGATTATATGAATGTTTGGTTGTAATAGTGTTTTCCTAGTTGTTTTCCAGAACAGGCCAAGGGAAGACTGTGCTCATAGAAAGAGATGTTAATAAATGGATTCATATGCCTTATCAGATGATCAACTATTTTATGAAAAATATCTCTAGAAAATTAGTAATTAGAATACTCCTGTTTATTATATAATATGAAATTAGCACATTTTATCAACTCTATGATGCTGTTTTTTATATTTTAACATTTCTGAAATTGGACTCCTTTCAACTGATGATATTTTAGATTCAAGTAAATTATAAAAAATTTGAAAATCAGATGGCAGTATAACAAATGAAATGTGTTTTTATTTACTAGCTTAGGGCATCATGATCTACTATTCATGGTGCCTGTCCTCTTAGTATAGCTAGTATTACTAGACAGCAAATTTGTTAGATTCATAGCTAATTACCAATATATTTAGAATCATTGTGGAGAGATTAAGATTTTTCCTGACAAAGTGACTTTGCAATATTTGTTTTCTTGCCCTGTAATTTTCCATACAACCAGCATAGGCATGAATATCATTGTTAATTATTACAATATTTTGAAATGAGAAATCATTTATTTCCTGAGGTGGCCATAAGCAATTGTGTAAAAGTGTGTTGGTCTTAACCTAGAGACCTTTTTATTTTTACAACTCTTGACTTACACAGCCTATCCAGTTTTGATTGAAAATGGTGATGATCTTAGACCCTGAGCACTAGTAATAGAGTTCCTCTTGAAGAGTCGCATTCTCTGTAGTAATGCATGAACCAACTCTTACAGAGGTTATGTTTTTATTATGCCTTCTCTACAATATTATTTGATATATAATACAGAAAGCTGCTAATGCCTTTTTAAAAAGGAGATGGGGCTGGGCGTGGTGGCTCAAGCCTGTAATCCCAGCACTTTGGGAGGCCGAGGTGCGTGGATCACCTGAGGTCAGGAATTCAAGACCAACCTGGCCAAATGGTGAAACCCCATCTCTACTAAAAATATAAAAATTTAGCTGGGTGTGGTGGTGGGGGCCTGTAATCCCAGCTACTCAGGAGGCTGAGGCAGGGAATTGCTTGAACCCGGGATCATGCCACTGTACTTCAACCTGGGTGACAGTGTAAGGCCCTGTATCAAAAATAATAATTATAAATAAAAAGGAGATAAGCTGGGTGCAGTTTCTAATGCCCAAGCACTTTGGGAAGCCGAGGCAGGTGGATTACTTGAGGTCAGGAGTTCGAGACCAGCCTGGCCTAAAATATGGTGAAACCCCACCTCTATTAAAAATACAAAAATAACCAGGTGTGGTGGCACGTGCCTGTAATCCCAGCTACTCAGGAGGCTGAGGCTGGAGAATCACTTAAACCTGGAATGCGGAGGTTGCAGTGAGCCGAGATCGTGCCACTGCACTCCAGCCTGGAAAACCCAGCAAGACTGTGTCTCAAAAAAACAAAAATAATAAAAAGATAAAAATAGGGGACGTTTGTCAAAAGGGATCTTTAGCTTTTATGATTGAACATTAACTACATTTGTTTGAAGTTGATTTCACAAAAGTAAATCTCAAACTAAAGTTGTGAAGTACAACCATGACTACCAATTTTTATTGTTATTAGGTATTTTTGAAGACTCATGGTGACTTGTCATCAACAGCAGGGACTGACGTTAATGAAAACAATTACAATTTACCAAAACTGAAATATCTACATGAGTATTATCATTTCATACTCCCTCCTTAAATAGGCTTTATACTAAATCCAGTTTTCCCAACATACCCAATATTTACATATATGTAATTTTTTTTTTTGAGACCAAGTCTCACTCTGTCACCTAGGCTGGAGTGCAGTATAGGATCTTGGCTCACTGCAACCTCCGCCTCCTAGGTTCAAGCGATTCTTCTGCCTCAGTCTCCCAAGCAGCTGAGCACAGGCACACTCCACCATGCCCAGCTAATTTTTTTTTTTTTTTGTATTTTTAATGGAGATGGGGTTTTACCATGTTGGCCAGGCTGGTCTCGAATGCCTGACCTCAGGTGATCCACCCACCTCGGCTTCCCAAAGTGCTAGGATTACAGGCCTGAGCCACCGCACCCAGCATGTAAACCTTTTTTAAAAAATAGTTTTCACATTTCATGTAGCCACACAAGTGTGTATGTATAAATACTTGCAAGACATTGTTTCTTTGTCTAAACTGTTGTTTTTCTCTGTGATTTTCTTTTTAATTTTTTTTTTTTAATTTGCCCTGTACTTTATATGCCTTAAGTCCTCTGCCCCTTTCTTTACATAGCTTTGGAGTTCACAGAGAAATGTAAAATTCCACTTAAGGTCCGTAAGGACAACCTAAGATTTCTCTTTTGGCCTTTCACCCCGGTAAGACTGGCTGAGCCTATCGGTTGACGTAAAGTACCTCCAAGTAAACTTGAATCTGAGGTCTGAAGGTGTTTTACTAACCTTATGTCAGCAAGCAGATGATCTGGTCTCTATAAATTCTCACTATGTTGCTCAGGCTGGTCTTGAACTCCTGGGCTCTAATGATCTTCCTTTCTGTGGCTCCAAAGTGCTGGGATTACAGATTTAAACCACCATGCCCAGGCTTTTTTGTTGTTATGTGTGTATATATATATATATATATATATATATAACTTGTTTTCTTATCGTCATGTGGCTTGGTAAATTTCTGTAATAATACCATGTGTGTCCTTTATGTGTTTACCAGTGAATTTTATAGTTTCACTTATTTTCATGATGGTGTTATAGTGTTATCCTTTTGCTTCGAGGTTTAGGACCCCCTTAAGCTTTTCTTTCTTTTTTATTTTTATTTTTTGGTCTTTTCTCAGACAGTTTCACTCTGCTGCCCAGACTGGAGTGTAGTGGCTCCAACTCAGGTCACTGCAACCTCTATCTCCCAGGTTCAAGTGATTCTCATGCCCCAACCTCCTGAGTAGCTGGGATTACAGGCGCGTACCATCACACCCAGCTAATTTTTGTATTTTTAGTAGAGAGGGCTTTTACCATGTTGGACAGTCTGGTCTTGAACTCCTCACATCAAGTGACCCATCGGCCTTGGCCTCCCATATTGCTGGGATTAGAAGCGTGAGCCACTGCACCCAGCCTTCAGCTTTTCTTGTAAGACCAGTCTAGTGGTAAAAAAAACTTCCTTAGCATTTTCTTGTCTTCTAGAAAGGACCATTTCTCCATTTATGAAGGATAATTTTGCTGGATATAGCATTCTTGGCTA